AAATATCTATAAAACGCTACTTTCTGAATTTATTTTTCATTCATGAAATATTTAGGAGTATTTACTATTTTAACCAAACGATATATAACTGACATCTACCTTTAATTCCTCTTTGATTAGACATAGATCTCCTTTTTAGCAATCATTATCCCCCCCCCCCCCCCAAATTTCTATGCTAAATTAATGAAGTCTAGATTCACTAAGAAAAAGGAAATAGAATAATCATTTTTGTAAAAAAAAAAAAATCAATATATGAAAGGCACTGCTGTAACAGGAATAGTATTTAAATGTCTTTATTATCTCACCTGAGACAAAGACTTATAATGTAAGTGAGCTATTTCTGAAAGAAGAGTGTCTGGCGTACGCGTGTCTGTTTTGTCGTAGTCTGTCGTGTTTCATGTATAAATTTCAACTTTCAAGTACCACTGGGTCAGTTCTAACAGAACTTGTCACAAAGCATACTTGAGCAAATTCAATTTGCATAAAGAGGAAACGAGCTAAACATAAGGTGTCATTATTTTTTTTTCTAAGGAACAACTTGGCCAAGAAGCCAGAATTGATATTGAAGCTTCTTTCAAATGTTAGAAAAAACCGTTCACGGTAGCTCAGTCGATAGAGCGCTCGCTCCGTGATCGGGAGGTCGTGAGTTCGAATCTCGGCCGCGACTGCCTTAAGTCAATAAAAATGGGTAGCAACTGTTCCTTCGCCAAGCGCTCGGCACTTTGAAGTGAACGTTGCGGGTCCTTCGGATGAGACCTTAAAAACCGAGGCCCCGTGTCACGGCAGACGTTGGCACCATAAAGATGCCTCACTGCTCAATGGCCCTTAGTGCTGAGTAAAGGTCAAAATTTGAAGCCCTTCACCGGCTATATGGTGACGTCTCTATATGATGAAAAATTTTCGAATGGGACGTAAAACAACAAACAATCAATCAACCAATTGTGAAAATTTAAGTCTGTGCAAACTATGACCAACAGGTCTAGGGTAGTTCCATATCAGTGTCAAAGTTAAAAATGTATAGAAAACAAAAAATATCTTCTCAAAAACAACAGTACCACAATTAATTTTAGGCAAGTGTAAAATAAAATTTGTTCAAAATATTCTTTTGCAAAAAGAGGGGCAACTGTTACACGTCGTCATATTAATAAAAAGGAATCTCTAGGTAGATTCAAGTTTTTCTAAATCATGCCCCTGGAGGTTGGGCGGGGCTGCAATAGGGGGTTTAGGGGGTTTAGATTTAGGTTTAGATTTATATATATGAAATCTTTCTCAAGAACAGCTGGTCATGTTTAGTCATTGTCATATAATTATAGTAGTATCCCGATGAAGTATGAATTGGATATTGAAATGCATTTAAGTCAGGCCATGGTGGCGCCACAATTGGGATATCAAAATTTAGCTCATGAAAATATAAGAATATCTTTAAAATTTTCCCAAGTGCAGAAGAGTATCACATTCATAAAATATAATGCAAGCATCTGTAGAAAGTGAGGATTCAAATTCATTCAAACATAGCCCTGAAAAAAACATGGGGATACCATAAGGGATTTTCCTAGAATGTAAACTATTAAGGTTTTTTTTTCCAACATCAAGAGCACAAAATTTACAAATTAGTCACAATAATATATGCAATTATCCCTGTCCAGCTTTCGTATTTGTTCAAAATCAAGACCTCTGGCCCTGGTGTGGGGCCGAAAAGGGAGTGATACAAAGATATGACATAGAAATATACAGAAAAGCATAAAAAAATTTGTACAGGGATACTTGCATATTAACAGGATGTTATGCAACCGCAGCAGGGTACACTAAATTCGATAAGTCATATTGATATGCAAACATCCCAAGTCATGTGGATTTATACAGTTAAAGAATATTCTTGCATGATAAGACATAATCCCGACGGTAATGCAACGAAATTTACATGGAAATATATACGATAAAATCTTTAAAAATAGCGGGGCGAAGGTGAAGCAGGTCAGCTTTGTGGCCCATGGATTTCTTCTTATCAGTCTATTTATAAACGTAATCGAAATTTCTGTTGGGGTTATATAGAAATCATTTGTCTGTCTGTGTGTCTGTCCGTGCAATCATGTCCCGACCATTAGTTCATAATGGAAAAATGAAATGTACTTTTCACTTTCAGTAAACACGCATTTTTTTATTCGATAATCTAACCCCTTCCCCTTAAAGCAAGAAACTAAAGCAAGGCAGGACATCGCTTTTGAATGGAAGTGAAATATATCTTCCGACATAAATATATACCTCACAAACTATCTTTACTTGTGAGTCACAATTGTCACAATTTTTTTTATGTTAAAAGGGTAATAATAGTTTTCAGTAATACTAATCCTAATGAACAATACTTCTTAGTTACCTCAGAGTACATAATATACTTGTAACTCGTCTATAACTAGAAAAATTTTATTAACTGGAAATAAGTGCAATAAGATAAGTTTTACCACAAAACCCAGAAAAAACTGCAATATTGGGATCCATAAGTTTGCAATATTGATATGTATTAATATGTAAGAACCCTTTTTGACAATCATTTTAGGATTAAACATTCTTACATGTACATGCAACACATGGGTCTTCTTTAAGATGTGTGTTAATACTTTTCTTTCAGATAACTTTAAGACACCAAATAAAGGAATCAAAGTTTCTGTCACATTGGGGACGTTTTCTGCAATTCAGGTGGGTTATCGAACTTTATATCTTTGTTCTTTTAAAAAGAATATTCATCTCATACATGTAAAATTCTTTAGGTTAAGGTATGTCAGTCATCAGCTTTTAAGGACAGACGATGCGTTCCTCAATAATATATATTTTTTTCAAAGATTCTGTCATTGAATTATTGCTACTTTAATGTTTACTAGCAAAAAATGAGGTATCTTACCAGGCATTTGTGCAAGGTACCAGAGGATGATGTTTCCTATAAAATCCTTTTGGAAAAAACTTAATTTGCCGATATCACATTTTTTTAGTGTTTCAAATTTTTAAAGACAATTACAAACCAGTTTAGAAATCAAAATGTAATTAAAATTTTGAATATTTTCCATACAATACGAAGATATACAAAACAGATATTTGAGGAACGTATCGTCTGACCTTAAGAAAAGTTCAATCAGAACCTCTAACTTCAAAACTATTTATTACAATTCAAATTTTAGAACATATTTGAATTAAACAATGCAAATTATACAACATTTAATTTAGAAACTGCTCACAAAATCATTAAGAAGCAAGATGTATGGGGGATTATTACTTGTAGTGGAAGTATATTTAGAAGAAGAAAATCCTTCACTTCTACACATTTGCTCAATTTAATATCTTCGAACTTTGGCCCTACATATTTTTATGAGAGATTTTTTCTTCGTTATTATATGCTGGGAATATTAAATATAGTTTTCAATAAATATTTTTAAACAAATCTTACACATTCACTCAGCAGACTTTGCTAAGAAATGAAGATATATTGAAGTAGTCAAGATAAAATTTGAACTTTTTTTTTGCCTAAAAATCGCATATTTTGACCAATATCTCAAAATTTACATCACTGGCCCCAACTTTTTCTTTAATATTTTAAATCTTACTTTAGTTCCAAGCGATCAGCCCTAAAGTCATCCAAAGATTGATACAAGTAAATATTTTATTACCTTTTTAGATTTTTATTATCCCTCCCCCCCCCCTCCCCCCATGATACTTTTTTAGTGCAAAAAGGTCACAAAATAAAGCATGCGCATTCATTTGCATGATTTGTTCAATGATAAAAATATTATTCAAACTATTTTATCTAAAATTAGATTATATTTATTGCATTTGATAAAAATGATGAAGGTTAAATGATTGAAAAAAGAGTTACAATTTAAATACAAAAAAAGTCATGTTAATTGTTTCGTTGCTCAGTAAGATGTACACTAATCCTCAATTTTTGTTTGCGATTTTGAATCATGCTATATGAGTACTTATCTAAAATGTACTTGTAAAAAAAAAAAAAAAAACCTTGATAAAAGTAAGGTCACTAGTGACATATATTAAGACTCGATATTATGCAGAATCAAATAAGAAAGAACTTGTAATTGTATTCCAGGCATGGCTGTTCATTTTATTCATTTGTTCATTGCTTTATGACCTATCGTGTGTGCACTATCACATGAAGATAATATTCCTTGTTCATATGAATGTGCTCATAATTTATGACTATTTATACCTGTATATTTCTACATGTCAGTTTGTCTCTTAAATAACTTATTAACATAGAATGGAAAAAAAAATGAGATGTTAAACAAGTGCAATAATCAATAGATTATTTCTCTAGTCTGGAGCGTTTCACTTGATAAATTATATTAAATACACAATGATGTTTTTTTTTAGGTTGACGCAATTATAACATTTAGTGGCTGCGATCTGAATATGACGGCTGGACATGTTAACGAATCTTTAGTTAGAATTGAGGGGGAAAACATTGAACAGTACCTAAGGAATAACTATGCGTTTGGTCTAAGACCTGGGCAAGTAGCTGATATTCCAGCTGAAAATCTTCCTTGCCACAGAATCTATATTGGTGTATTACCGGATTACAACCAAGAGGTATTCAAAGTGAATATAAGCGAGTGTTTCCACACACACACACACACACACACACAGAGAGAGAGAGAGAGAGGTCAACCTTGAACATTATGCACATATCCTCTGACTGTGACTTAGTAAATACCTGTTTACGTGCTAATTTTCAATGTGCAATAATAGAGACATTTTACATGTAGGGTGGAGTAAATAATTTGTGTAAGTTAAGGTAAAATTACATTATACAGTATCCTATTAAGTTCCTGGACATGTTTACCTTAGTAGCATGAAGGAAAATCTCTCATCTACATTGTAATTATTTAAGTTGAAGCTTGTATTTCTGATGATTTGACAATAGTTCTCCAAAGCATTATTCATACTTTTTTTTAGGTCTTTCAACAAATTATTGCCGATTGTTTGCATATGTCAACTGGAAGAAAAGTGAAATCTCTCGGAATACCATGTTTTGAAGACAAATCAACATTTCTAAGTATTGTGCAAAAAACATTGGATGTTATAATAAATTACGACATGATATTATCAAGGACTACGGTCGAAGACATCTGCATCATTGTTGAAAATGAAGACATTGAGTTGTATAATGTACGTTAAAACATATCGGTTTTGGTGGTATCTCATTAAAATACTTTTAATATAGGCGAAAGATTTATATTATATATAATTATTATATAGTGTATATAATGCTGATAAAACAAATATTAAATATGAAAACTAAATGATAATATTTGAGGATAGATCTGTGTTTCATAGCAAATGAAATGGTTCACTACAAACTTTACAAGATCATTGACAAAGTGCAATATTTATTCTATCTTTTTTTGTTTGAACATAGGACATTCTAAGACTTCTTTTAAATACAACCATTTCGAAGACAAGAAGTTCAGAAAATTTGAAGAATTTCTGTTCATGGCCCAGGCCTCAGATTACTTGCGGGATTTTGGATCATGGTATATACATGCTCATGCCACATATAATGCTACTAATTAAAATTCTTGTAATTTCATGAAAAAATGAATATATTATATGACATTATTTTCTTTAGAGTTCATATTGAATGGTATTTCTGTCTGCCTTCTCAATGATGATATATTAGATGTACAGGCTGATGCAATCGTGAATAGCACAAACGCTCTTTTAGACCTTAATAAAGGTAATTGTATGTGAATGCCATTCCTCGACATCTGTAATCAAAAGTTGTTTACGATTTTGATCTTTTTAACAATGCAGCAAAAAAGCAGTTATATTATTTTAAACATTTTACTTTTTATTTGAAATAAACAGTAGCAGGAATTGTAGTTTAAGATCATTAGAATCGTTTATTAAATAAGATTCAAAACATTCTACAGGACAGCTGTCAAAAATGATCCTCAGAAGATGTGGACAAAATCTTGTTCAGGAATGTTCGAGAAAACGTAAAGTATTAAACACACACACACCCCCAAACACCCACCCACACCGCGGACAAGTTGTGTAGAGTGACAAAAACAACACTGCGTTCAAAACTTCTCACTACTCATTCATGCATTTTTCATCTATAATAAATACCATATAACTATATCGAAAACAGACCGTGAAAATTTGGTGATTATTTGCGCTTCAAGACTTAAATCTACGAGAGTTTTTGTTCTATAAAGGGTCGATGCATTTAATCAGAAGTCTTTTACAATCAAATGCCGTTTAATTTGACAATTTATTTAAAATTCTAACGTACAGTTTAATGTTACGGAACCATTCTACATTAGATTAAGATACCTCTATACACTGGTATCTAATGTTTATTTCAACATTATTCTCTTCAGATAATATAAACCTGAACAATCATTGCTGCACATATATTTTAAATCGTTCTTTTCCATTGTAAATATGCTTCTGATATCTTTCCATCTCTCTTGCAGGCTCGGAAATGGTAAAAAAACAAAGTTGTGGCAACCTCAGCTTACGAATTAATTGCTCGCAATATCATTCACATCACATGTTGCTTTGCTGTCCATGAATGGCTGACAAGATGTCTGACAATTTTCGACATTGCAAGGAATCTCAGATGTTCTTCCCTTGCTCTGCCTTTATTCGGAACAGGTAGGTAATTGGAAGTACTTGGAATGGTACAAAAATATTTTCTTATTCATTCATCATTAAAATTTCATTTCAATGATGAAAATAATAATACATTTTATTTTTTCTGACTATGCCTCCATACACCAAAACCTTTTCTCTATTTAACATTTTCTTTTTATATTTTAACTTTTTTCTTTCATACGTCATTCACAAAAGACATATTACATAGGTACGTACAAGGAAACAAATAGCTTTATACACAGATTTCACAAATTTGTATTGTTTATGGATTTTTTTTTTTTTGGGGGGGGGGGGGTCGATCAATGATCGTTATCTTCACCCTTTTCACAGTTACCATTTCTAAATTTTCCCTTCACATGACACATGCGTACATGCAGACGTTGAAGATGTTACAGAATTTTGAGCATCCACTCCCACTTTTATATTGCAGGCTGTGCTTTTATACCGTACGATGTGGAGACGATATGTGAATTGATATTGGTCAGCTTATCAATATTTTCACAACAGAATACAAGTCATGGACTTCAAAGTGTGAAAATTGTTGCTTATAAAGGCAAAGATTTCACTGACATTCTTTCATTTTTTAAGAAGGTCAGCCAACATTGCAAAACGTTGTGAAATTGTTAATATCTGTTAATGTAACTTATTGTGATGTCATGAAGTATACGGGTATTGTAATAAACAGATTTCATGACCATTTATCATCGGAGAACTTCGGATATTCACACGTAAGGCATGATGACGAATAGGCGAAACTCTGAATGACTTCAGTGTTGTATCAATTGAAGCCTGTTTTAATTTATTGCTTTTTTTCATATAAATAATGTTCTACGGACAAGTTCTTCCTGCACTGTTTGTCCTTTTAAGTGAAGGCGTCCTATGAATATTTTTTAAAAAAATATAACTAAGATCTGAGGATTTAAAAACCATCATATATGTAGCCAGGAAACTATATGTTCATCTCCTGCGTTGTTTTAGGCATTGTCTGGCTTGTTAATTTGTGCTATAGTTGACACTCCTTGAAAGTCTTTTATATACACCAACAAAGTTTTTACAAAATTTATATCACTGTTATATTCAATGATATGTATATTGTTTGACCTGGTCCGTTATCATGTGATGATGACATCTGTTACAGTGGTAAAAAGGGTTTTTACTTTTATGTAAACCGGTAACTAACAATGTTATTAATATATACAATTTACATGTATACCAATGCTGTATGTTTGAAAAAGTAAAACAATGGATGAAGGATTGTTGATTTTTAAGTCAATTTATATAAAAGACCTCGTTGTGTATGCTAAGTTTATAAATCCCTGCTCCATGTGATATTAGACTATACAGTACTACAAAGAGAGCTTAGTAATATTTATTGAATATTCAACATTACATAATAACTTTCTCATATAGAAAATAAGTTCAAATGATAAAAGAGCCAAAATATACCTGAATTTAAATACGTTAAAAATCTTATGCACTTGCTCTATTGTTAACAATTTGACTTTTATCAAAACCCAAGACCAAAAGCTGAAAAAATTGTGAAACTGAAAAAAGTCAATTCTTGGTCAAAACCGACAGTTCAACTTCCGAAATTATTAATGGAAATAATACGTTCCTTTCAGGCTACAAGTTGTCTGGATTTCTTTTCCATAAACTCGATTTAATCTGTTATAATCACATTGGATGGTCAGAGTTCGAACAAATGAGGGGTAAAATATTCTTTTATGCTAAATACATTTGTATAGTTTCGTGAGCCCCATGTTTCATGTTATAAAATAATGTTTATTCAAGACACAAACTTGAATCCAAAAGTTCATGATAATAATCCACATTTGATCTATTAAATGGTCAAATCACCTGGAATTTTAAAATATAGCAAGTGCATGTATGAAAGAAATGTTTTTTCCCCTTGAGAAGAATAAGACTATAAAATGTCATGCAATGTAATTACATCTAATTAGTCCTGGACAGGTCAATGGGATCTTGAACAGGCGAAATGTAGAGAGGATATGGTCCAAAGGTTATGTGTTTTCAAAACATTGGCCATCTTTAACGTAGACGTAGAAAAAAAAAAAAAAAACCTTTTTTATATTTTGATAGCAACGTATTACTTTTATTTGGGAGAACCCTTTCACCCCAGAGATTTTACAATATTTTTGCAAAACTGACAAAATAAATTCAAATTCAAGTAACATTTACATAAGGCAACCCATAATATATTCTGAAGATGTTTATATTTTTATTTATGCATAGTAATATGAAATCAGGGTTGCCATGGCAACAAAATGAATTAAAATTAAAAATGTAGGATTTTAAAATTTTCTTTCAAGAAACACACAAATATTTACAAATATATTTTCTTGCAGAGTAGTGACTGATTCTTTTCAAACAAAAAATGTCAATAATTAGCTTTTGATTATTTTTTATCTCTGATACACACACACTACAAAAACAACAAACAAACAGAACTTCACACTAAAAAAAAAAACAAACAAACAACAAACAAACAGAACTTACGCGATGGGGGGTGAGCGTCATCTGTAGGTTTATCTTTTTAGCAGTCTGTTTTCTTGTTACAGTGTACATTTTTTAAATACTCCTCCGACAGTTTTCATCCGATTTCAATAAAACTCGGTACACAAGTAGACTTTACTAGTATAAAGAATCGTGTGCATCAATAATTGGTTTAAATGAATGGGGTTGATATGATTACTAATAGTAACAATTTCCTTTTCGAAATTCTACTTCGTCGAAAAAAAAAGTTCTGATTTGATCATAAAACAATTTATCACAGATATATTACACCATGGTTCCCATTAAAAAAAATCATGGAACAATATTTTAGTTGTTGATTAGAATAGACTACATTGTATGTATATCCATTAAAAAAGTCACTACCTCCCTTATATGCAATTGGCTGGTGCAATTTTTTTTCACGTTGATGTAAAACTCCTAAGATGAAGGACAACAATTGATATTCAGTCAGATTTTTAACTAGTACATAACTACATAAAGATGCATTTTAAGGGATATGTTCTCAAATGAAGAAAAAAATTAATAAAGGAAATTTCAAGAACTTAGTTCTTTAACAATTTCTTCATCTAATTTGCTTGGAAGTTGTGATTCTCAATGTACCTTAATGCAAATGTTCAATTAATTTACACATACAAGAAGAGTACGTTAAATAAAAAAGCACACAAATATTGTCCTGTTACATATTGTCTAAAAGATTGTCCCTTTTTTAAAAATCACTTGGCATACTTAAGAGTGTAGTCTGTGAAAATCTGAAAATTAACGGGATTTTTTTTCTAGAGAATTATCTACACATGACAGCTTTATGCTTTAGTAAAATCTAGTTGGATGCACTGATCTCAGTTATCTTAAAAATCAATGAGTTTAAAGATATACTTTCAGCATGAAATATGGAGATAACGAACAGTATTCAAACTCAAAGTCCATTTAAACAATACAAATCGAGAGGAGAGAAAACACGGACCTCCAAAACTTTCATAGGTTGGATCAGGTGCCATGTTAAAGTGAGCATCCCCTGCAGACAGGTCACATCCGCGGTGTGCTACTTGTCATGATCGGGAAAAACGGAAAAAATCCGTCGACAATTCAGAGTGTAAATAATGGCCTAACAATAAGTATGAAAAACATCAATCAGCATTTGACTTAATGATAAGTTGTATTTGCTGTCAAGGTGATTGTATCGACCAAATTGACCTCAAAGAAGACTGTTGATATCCTTGTTTCATCAACTTGTTTGTCAATAGCTCGTTTTAGAAATTGTTCATACGTAGAGCATGCTCTTGTGTATCGAATCACCTGGAAGACAAAAACTCCATATGCAGGTGATAAGGGTGTATTGCTACATAAGTAAGGGAAGTTGACGATTGAAAAATTGAAGTCATCAGTTAATCATAAAGCTTTTTTGTTAGGCTACCATTATAGTCTTTTTCTAATAAAATATCCAAATATGAAACAGATGTTTCACATTCTGTGGTATCTTTTATTTCAAACTCACTGGGATTTGAAGATATGATTTATTGTTACGATGAAAGATGCAGCGAGAGATCGGGATTATAACATGAATACACAATTTTTATCTTAATGCTATGAATGTACAGCCCAAAATTTCATTATATTGTTATCAATCAGATGCAAATAGATTATATTCCGTTATTTAAGAGGGGCAATTCGATTTTTGACGTGCACTCCTTGACTCGTTTAAAATTTAATTCGTATAATGAATGCGCACTTTGTTCCTGTCCATTTTGATAGGGGAACTCTAGTGTGTGCATTAATGAAATTTCCGAAATTAAGTGAGATTTTCCTACCTTTTTTTTTACAGGAGTCGGCAGTTTTATTCATAACGCAACGTAAACAAGAACCAGT